ATGTTCACCAAACACAAGTTTTAATGGGATATATTTGTGGCAGCCTGTTGGAGGTACGGTGAGTGGGGTACAGTAATTGTTAGGAGTGCTGTCAACACTTGTTTACAACTTGGGTGTAAAAGTTTGCATTTTATACCCACCATATAAGTCAACCCCCTAGTTTTGGAAAGATATTTTTAGGCTTAAAAACACTGCAATTTACGGTAGTTTGGGGATTAAGAGCTATGATGAATCTAATTGTAAAATGTATGTTATGGTGGACAAGCAATATAGTAGCTTGTAAGTTAGCAATGAGAAAATATTTTTTCAGACATTTTTATATATTCTGCAAGCAAAGAATAAACAGTGGACAGTTAAATAATTTAAACAAAAAAAAAAAACAGAACAGTTCAAAGTAATTAAAAACAAGATTACTCTTGAGAAAATTGATAATTTTATTTATTGAAATATTTTTTTCTGGTTTTTAGATTAACAGTTACATTATTAAAAGTTATTTCATGGAATATATCTTTTTTCCTTTTCACACAAGAAATGTGATATTCATCCAATTTGTTTTTTAAAAAAAAAAAATGAAGGGATGGGGAGGAAAATGCCTGATGTTTTTTTTTAAGTCGCTAATTGTTTTAAAACAAATTAGTCAAGACTAATTTCATTCAGGAGAAAAATTTTCTTTCATAACAGAATATAGGGTCTCTGTTATACATTTTGCAATTTTTTTTTTAAAGCTTAGACTGGCACAAGGCCACACCAGTGGAGCACCCAGAGAGGATCAAACTCATTATTTTAGGGAATTGATTTGCAATACTTCCTTGCTAACCATTAAATTATGGTTGGTTTGTGCGTGCATACACACATATGCAAGACATTTTATCCAATGCAAGGCCCATGAACCACTCATACTGATATGAACATAAGAGGAAGAATATATGCAAAGATGCATATCTTTATATATCCGTAAACGTACATTATTTTAATATTGCCACATGTTTATACAAAAATGTAAATATTCTGTCTCTAACCCCCCCTCTCTCTCTATATATATATATATAACAGAAAAATCAAAAATTATCTCATGAGTATAGACTATTTCAACTAAAGTCAGGACACTGAATAGAGTCCACCATTTGAGCTGAATAAAGCTAACACATTCAGTGTTAATTGAAATAGTTTATAGTCATGAGGTAATTTTGGATTTCTTCGTTATGTAATTTATATGCTCCGTTATAATAAATAGATTAAGCTCTTTTTGGGGATTTTATATTATTAGGATCCACTTGGATTATATACCAATGGTTTTTTATATATATATATATATATATATATATATATATATATATATATATATATATATATTCAATCAGCACTTGATTATTTTGTGCAGGAATTCAGAATTTTTTATTAAATTTTTCAAACATCCTAACATTTTTCCCTTTTGTAGGAGTTGAGGAATATTAAAATTGTCCAAAATATTTATTGTCCCAAATTATGGACAATTTTTATATTCCTTAACAAAATGGAAAAATGGTAGAATATTGAAAAAACTTAAAAAAAAATTTATTCAATCTTTCTTGTTGGCCGTATTCAATGAAAGAGGTTTGAAAGAAAGGTTGTTACCAAAATATACATTAATTTTTACTGTCCCAAGCACTTTTGCCCACTTTTACAGCCAAAAGTGCTTGGGACAATAAAAATTATGAACAATTTTCATATTCCTCAACTCCTACAAAATGGAAAAAATGTTAGGATGCTGGAAAAACTTAATAAAAAATTAATTCAATCTTTCTGTATTCAATGAAAGATGCTTGAAAGAAAGGTTGCTGCCAAATTATATATATATATATATATATATATATATATATATATATATATATATATATGAATGATAAAAAGGCTTAAACACTAATATTCCATGGTCCATGGAATATTAGTGTTTAAGCCTTTTTATCATATCCTTACTCTGTCCTGGACATTGAGTTCTACCTGGATTCTATCCTCTTGGAATTTTTATTCAAAAAATATACATATATGTGTATGCACCTATGTATATATATATTTATATATTTTGCATATATTTATGTGTATATTTATGTACTATATATATATATATATATATATATATATATATATATATATATATATATATATATATATATATATAGAGAGAGAGAGAGAGAGAGAGAATTGTTATTTGTAGATATAATTCTGTTCTTAATTTAAATCAGGAGGAAAAGTAGAAAATGGTTATCTCTATAGAAAATTATATACAACTCTTTAGATCAAACAGGTTGATTCATATGTTAAAAAGATAATGTATCTACATTAGTTATATTGTTATAAAGGTTTGGCCAAATTTCTTTGATAAAACCTTGTCATTATTATTAATTTTTGACTAGTCTTTCTTCCATCTTGCTTTTTTTATGCCTAGTAATAGTAGTGTTGTGTGAATTTGAGGTGAAGCCTTGTCATTATTCATTTTTGACTCTTTCTTTCATCTTATTTCTCTTGTTTCCTTACACCTAACAGTAGTAGTAGTAATATTTTCTGAATTTCTTTGATTAAATAGTTATTTTTTTTTTTTTTACTATTTTTTCATTTCTCTTCCTTCTTTAAATCTAATAATAGTAGTAATAGTATTGTCTGAATTCCTGAGATGAAACATGGTCATTATTATTTTTTTAATAATCCTTCTTTCATTTTATTTCTTTACATATAGTAGTAACTTTAAGTTATCTGAATTTCTTAGGTAAAACATTTTGACCTCCCAAGAGTAACGGATGCAGTTCAAATGTCATCAAAAGCTTTTTACTTATTTTTAAAAATTTAAACTGTCTCTTTAACAAGCATAAGGATCTGATGATTGTAATGAAAATTTAAAACAAAAATAAGACAAAAAATTATTTAGTAAGAAATTAATATTTTTTGAAAGATTGTAATTTGTAATTAATGTTTGAAAGATTAGCAAAAAGAAAAAAAAGCAATAGACCTTGCTTGCCTATGTGTATACAGTTTGGTAAAACTGACAAAATTGTTTTTTTCTTTTTAATTTCAATTAAAAAAAATATATGCAAACAGTGACCCTATTGATGTTTACCCAAAACCTTATAATGCTGAAGCCGTCTCAAACGTTTTCCATAGACACAGAACAAATTTTTTTTAACATTAGGAAAATGAACAGAAAAAAATAATAATAAAGACATCTCTTATAATACAAAATAAAAAAATAATAATAAAAGAAATGTGTAATGTGCAATAAACATGAAAACGATCATAACAAAAAAAAAAAAAAGGTCATTTAACTTGGGAAAGGTCACTCATCTCCCAAAACATTTTTTAAAAAAAAACAAAAAAAAAAAAAAAAAAAAAAAAAAACTCTGTGAGTTAGATTTTGGGCCCTTTAGAGTTACAACCCTTCCACCACTTGCAGCTCTCTTTTATGGCCTGGAAATAATTTTCATTTTTTTTTTTTTTTTTTTTTTTATAACAAGCAATCTTTTCCCAAACCTAATTCTTAGCCTGTTGACATTTTAAAAATAAAAAGTGACCACTGGATTCTTTGGGAGTAGTTGCTGACCTGTGACTGAGTTTTTTTTTTTTTTTTTTTTTTAAATAGTTGAGGACCCACTCACAATAATAATTAGGGACTCTCAACAAGTGAGAAGAGATTTATCAGGTCTGGTGTAAGGTCTTTGGCCCTTTTAGCATTTGTAGAACAAGAAATTTTTTTTTTCTTTTGCTTTCAAGGTCAAATGTTAAAACATATTTGCTACCAGAAGAGACAAAATATTCTCAGCATAACACCAGAGAATGATTGACAAAGCAGAACATTCAAATTGAAATGTTGTTGTCCTAGTAGGCTGAGCATATATAAAATCATGGCATTCTTTACTTCAGGCCAAGTCAAGCCAAGAACTGGGGGACTATCTTAAATTTCATTCCACTGAGTGCAAATGTTTTAGTTTGGATTTGCGGTAGTTCGCTGCAGTAGTCAGCTTCAGAAATTAAAAAAAATTAAAAATAAAGATCAAGAGCATAATTTGCTCAAAAACTTAATCCTCTTTATCTTTGTATATTTTTTCTTTACTATGGTCTTATTGATATTAATATACATCTTGGTAGAGATTCTGATCCATCACTTTCCACCATACTAACAAGGGAGTATGAAATGTTATATGTTAATCTTTGACTTAATTATCCACCTTAAAATCGTTTTCATGAAACAAAATAAATAGGTTTCCTGTTCTGACCATGAATTGCACTATGACTTGGCCTTAAGTAAAGAACAGCCTGAGATATATATTAAAGTTAGCCTACATATACTATTTACAGAATGTATGTATAGTAGGCTGATGAAAGAAGCCTGTAGAAGACAGAATAATATTCATTGCGTATTATTAGGACAATAAACAAAATAGAAGCATGAGAAAAATGCTAAAAAATTTTTTAAAAAATCTAACATTTTTATCATCATGCTTCTCTTTTTTTATATGCAATTAATATTATCATCATTATTACGTCTTTTTCAAATTTCTTTGGCCTACTATATATATATATATATATATATATATATATATATATATATATATATATATATATATATATAAGACCGTTTTGAAAACTTATATTTTGACATATTTTACCAATGAATTTGAATCATCAAATATTTTTTTATTTTAACAAAATCTACATTAGGCTAATGTGGATTTTGTCAAAATAAAAAATGAATTTTACTGATGATGCTGATTTATCAGCAAAATATGTAAAAATTTCCAAATTGTCTTATATATTTACTATTCTTTTGGTTGATCTCACCCAAACATTACAGGACAGACAATCAAAAGAGTAAGAAGTAGTGAAAAAGAGACAGGTCTCATAACAGGAAGAAATTGCTGTCCATGTGTTTGGTTTATTTTTTTTATTTTTTTTATTTTTATTTGTTTAGGGGGGGTATTTTGTTTTTATTTCTTAAAAAAAAAAAAAAAAAAAAAAAATCACATCACATATTACCACCACCAAAAACGAATGAACAAAAAGAAGACAACTATGACGATAACTACAGCAGCAACTTTGGCATATGTGGACCGGAGGTTCAGATAAGTTGCATCTTTTTTATACTGCTGTGAGAGTATGGACAGGTTACTGGCTTTGTTACCCAGAGCTGGAAAAAAAAATTCATCAGAAATGTGAGGAAAAAGAAAAAATTTAAATTGATTTTTATGTGACATGCAGCAGCTGACTAGATGAAAGTTCCAACAGATGAACAATATATTTGATACAAAAGTGTCATTAATTGATAGTATCAAGAATCATTTACCAGTACAATTTCAACATGGAAGCACCAGCCTGCACAAATATCTGAAAAGATGCGCTGGAGAAGAGAAGCTTTGTGTCAATAGTTTAGTGAATTTGGTGGCATAGTAATTCAATCCCTAGGTTAGGTTATTGAGACTTAATGGAAACAGATTGATTGATTAATTCATTTTCTATGGTTTATCAACCCTTTGCAGGTTATTTAAATCCAGAAAATATTTTTTAGATTGTAAAAATTGGGGATGGGAGGTAATAATGGTTTAGTGATACAAGTCTTATTAATTAACCCATAGCTGGGAGGAAGAGAAGTGGATTCATACTTTTCCCCAAGGGTATTTGTATATAAGTGAATATGAATTTTTCTGATAATGCTGATTTATCAGCAAAATATGTGAAATTTCCAAATTGTCATATATTTACTATTCTGTTGGTCGATTTCACACAAACTTTTATATACATTATAGGACAGACAATCGAGAGTAAGAAGTAGTGAAAAAGAGACAGGTCTCATAACAGGAAGAAATTGCTGCCCATGTGTTTGGTTTAGAGAATGACTGACAAAGCAGAATATTCAAATTCATAGCTGGGTGGAAGAGAAGTGGATTCATACTTTTCCCAAGGGTATTTGCACATAAGTGAACATAACAAATCCAACTGGAATTGGAACTTGGCACTCCAATTAACAATTCTGAGCCATTATCTATTACACTGCTTGTACATCCAAGCTTACAGCACTTGGTATTCCCAAGTGATCATCCATTTAGGTACCAACCAGGCTTGATTAATAAATGTATCAGAAAAATATTTTAAAATAAATAAATTCTGAAGACATTAAAGACAAAGGTTAATTATAATCAAGCAAATGATTTTTTTTTGTTGTTGTTTTTGCCTTTCTATCCATAGTTACTAAGCCCGTCATGACTAATGTTAGAGAATCAGTTCAAATAAAGATTGATGTGGCTTAACTTCAGTCATCGTACTGGAACTGAGGTTTCAATGTGTTGTGGCCATAGATCTCAATGGAAACAGGGTAAGCCGTATTAAAAAGAATAAAACACGATATCCCTAGACATGGACAGCAGAACAAGAACAATTTAACCTTAGCAATTAAATAAAGGGTTCAGTTTTAAATTTCCTTAAGTTTACCCAGATTCATATATACCTGAAGATTGGAGAGGACAACAGCTTAAAATTTGGGGTAATAAAAAAGATGACCTTAGTTCGAATGTAAATAATGGGAAAAAAAAAATGGTTAAAACCGGTGATTGAGAGCAAAGATCAAGTAATTACTCACTGTTTAATGCTTCTCCTCGTTGTAAAACATCATCAATATTCTGAACCATAATCCGTTGCACATCCTGCAATTCTGTGTTGATGTTGGACAAGTTTTTTCGTGCTCGGGAATCCATGTAAGACTTTCGAGTTTTTGTAATAAATGTATCTGAAAAATATTTTAAAATAAATAAATTCTGAAGTTAAGACATTAAAGACAAAGGTTAATTATAATCAAGCAAATGATTTTCTTTGTTGTTTTTGCCTTTCTATCCATAGTTACTAAGCCCATCATGACTAATATTAGAGGATCAGTTCAAATAAAGATCTCTCAAAAATCAATGAGCCAATATTCAAAACTGAAAAAAAGATTTTTTTTTTTTAACTGTATTCTTTTGTACCAAATATAAGTGTTGTTTGAATTTTGATTCAATTCACTCTGGAAGTGAATGATGATTAACTGAAGTCAGGTACTCAAAGATCCAGAAAATCTTTGTTACATCAAGAGAGGTAGAGTCAAAAACTCACCCAATGTTTGTAATGGCAATAAAGGAATTAATGAGTTTCTTGATGATCCACCTTCAAGACACCTAGAGAAGTGCTGGTTGAGCTTTTGTACCAAACACAAGTGCCATATGGAAGAATCATACTGGTGGGAATTCCTTTTGATTTCAATAGACCCTGGAAGCCAATAATTATGAACTGAAGTCAGGTACTCAAAGATCCAGCAAATATTCATTACATCAAGAGAGGTAGAGTCAGAAACTCACATTGTGTTGGCAGCAAGAAAATCAGTCAGTTTCTAGATGATCCTCACCATGACACCTAGATTATGGTTATGATTTTGTACCAAATACAAGTGCTGTCTGGAATAGTTGCATTGGTGGGAACTTTTCAATTTATAAAATAAGTGTACTGGTTCAAACAAACATGTCACCAGGAATTTTATATAAATTTAACCTTTAGCAATCTGCATTACTAATATTACTTCCCTTTTCACTGCATTTTTCAAGGCCTCTCAATTGCAGTATCCTTATTATTAATTTCACTCAAAGTTGTTTTCTGTTGCCATAGCAGGATATGACAGCACAACTATGAAATTCAAACACATGATTATTCAGGGATCAGAGTCACCTTCAGTGTCAGGATAAACTTTTTTTTGTACAGTATATGAAGTCAAATACAGTGATAAAGGTTAATAAACAAACAAAATCATGCCATAGAGAATATTATTTGAAAATTTATGCCATCACTTCTATTTGGTACACTAGAGTTGTTTATTTGTTTATACAATTCATCCATGAATGAGAAGATACCACTGTCATTCAAGGTCAACTCATTTCAAGTGATGAGAAACAAAAACGAATAACTCAAGAAATTGACATTACTCATGTAAACAAAAGAAATCTTTCTTACAAACAATGACTTCAAATAGGATATACTGTCAAAAGATTACATTAAGGCTTGTGGTGTGCCACAGGCATATTGGATTATTTTCTTAGAGGTCAGCTAAGGGAAAAAACTACATAATGTAATAATTATCTAACATTCATGACAGCTGAATAATTTTGCCACAAAGAAAAAACCTGAAATAATGAGAGACTTAAGAGGGTTAAAGATAGAAAGACAGACTGACAGTGATCAAAGTTATGAAGATGGATAAACCACAGGTAGTTGGGAAGTGAGAGAGTAGAAAAATTGGTCAGAAGAAAATAACCCATCCCAGTCATTAAGACAGGATGAGGTCTCACAAATAGAAATGAGGAAAAGTGGGGGAAGAAAAAGAAAAGAGAATTGAGACGAAGTAGTAGCCTCAAAGTACAAGCTGTGAGGAGTTGTAAGAGATAAAGAAAGAAAGGTGCCTGATAAAGAATAGAGGTTGATAGGTCTGACTACCCACTGCCGAAGCAGTAGATATAACCCTGAAAATATATTAAGTAGAGGAAATAGAAAATTGACAGAAGAGAGAAATTCTTATAGCCTTAATGTAATTGTGTCCCAGTTATTTTAAAAGAATGCCCAATATGAAGGTGCTAATGTTCCTTGTGATGCTGTGAACAGTCTGCTGAGAAAACATGGAGTAATTGCTAGATATTAGTTGATAGGACTAGAATTAAATTTGTGCATAGCATGAGCCTGATTTACAGACAAAGCTTTAGAGTTCCAGATGAATGCACAGAGTTTCTCATTGAGAAGTCCTATATATATATATATATATATATATATATATATATATATATATATATATATATATATATATATATAAAGAGCACTAATTGATTACATTTACTTGGATCATTTAAAAGAAGATAGTGAAGTAATTAAGAGATATTACTAGGTTGAAATAAGTGACATAAGAAACGTTTCCACAAGCTATAAGTTTATTAAAAGGACTGTAGGTGATAGCTTAAAAAAAGAATGCCAACTTTTCTCAAGTTTATGCGGAACTCAAATGAAAACCATAAAAATTAATCCTTCATTGACCCCACTGGAGTTACCGATAGGATATTCCATATCTGGTGAATCAATCACCCAATTTTTGTTATAAGACAGGAAAAATTTGAAACAAAAAATTTCTAATTGTTTTTTGTTCTGTTACCACAGTACAAATCTGTATTGTTTTATTTTCTCTTCAGTTTAGTTATTTTTAGGTTAGACACTGTTTTGGTCATTTCCTGTTAGCCTTAGTTACCATCAGAACCAGCATACTAAAAGCATGAGCCCAAGCTCATCGTCTTAATCTTATCCCAATAGCATCACTGATATGTGACTTTGGAAACCATTTCACTCACCTTTGGCCTCTCTTATTTGAAGATTTATTTAATGTAGCCATCTCTTATATACTTTGTATCACTTTATCAAGAATCTTTCTTATCACATTTTTATGGCTTACACACTATTCTAAATTTAACTTTCATGTAACTTTCTTCTTTTCTGAGAACTTAGACTGCACCAATGAGACGTATTCCTGCAGTAAACTTTATACATATTAATGTAGGCCAAGTATTTGCCTACATGAATATCTATCTATAAAGCAAGAAAAAGAAACCTAAAAAAGTTGTTCATTTATTCAGTCCATGATGCAGCATTGAGGCCTGAAGAATTGTCAATAGATCATGAAAAGCCAGAGATAACAAGCAACAAAAGAAATAAAAATCACTATATGGATGGCTTTTTTTTTTTTTTTTAAACCAAAGGAAGATAAATGTAAAAAGGCTCAGTTTTACAACATAAAACTGGGGAAAACGGTGAATGAAGGCTTCATTAAAATTAATGATTATTGAAATGAAATATGGAAGAAGAGCTAATTAACAAAGTTAATTAGGTTTGAGAAATTAGCTTGAGGGTTTCTTAAGGAATTGAAACTGAATATTAACGAGGAGATAACAAAGCAACTTAGTATAACTTGGCACAACCATATACCTGTTACACTTGCCAAGTCAAGCAAATATAATGAAAAATATTAAATTACAAACTAAACTGAAATCAAAATTATTTCAGAAAACTTTTGACAAAATTTTGCTTAAATAAAGATCTATCCATCAGATTGGTATTGTTTCTAAGGCAAAATAATTTCAGAGAAAAAGCTTTCCAAAAAATCTGATGTAATGAACAGCTAAAGAAAACAATGCTTTCTTGGAATCCTATTACGACATTCTAGTTTTCATCCTTATTTCAAGACTTCAATCAAATTTGGAAAGCTTTCAACTTCAGATAATTACAAGATTTCTTTTAACCTTTTAGAAATAATATATGTAAATAGAATTTTTTTTTTTTTTTTTTTAAATTTTGTAGAAATATTTTTTAGGTTTCTCATTGAATTAATATATAAATGCACACACAAATGTACATATGCACACAATTTGAATGAAATGGACATACAAGGTGCAATGGGTAAATTGTCGCCATTTTAAATTTTTAATTTTGCACATGTGTGTTGTTTTGTTTTTTTTTGACTGCATAGTATAGTAGGGTCAGTTAGGTACTGTCTGTGAGGAAAAGAGTGCCATGACACAATTCACTCCATCAAAAATTTGGAAATGGCATGCTATACTGCTTGGCATTCGCAGTGGAAACTCTAATATGAATATTTCAGAGTGTTTTGGTGTCAATCTGAGGACAGTGCAAAGGATTCAAAAAAAGTCTAATAGTGATTATGAAGGTGTTTGGAGTGATCACAAGTGATGGCGACATTATGCCTCCATTCATCCTTCAACAAGGTCTCAGACTCAACATGGAGGACTATATTCAAGTGCCTTGAGCAGATAGTGCTACTCCAGTTCAAGAGGGTGGCTGCTGGAAGACCCTATGTCTGACAACAGGACTCTGCACAATGCCACACAAGCAGGAGAAAGCAGTCATGTCTGTCAGTCAATTTCTGCAACCACATCACCCCTTACATCTGGCAACCTAACTCCCCAGATTGCAATCCCCTTGATTATTATGTGTGGGGTGCAGTTGAGTGAGAGACCAACAAAACTCCTTGTAACACCAAAGATGAACTGAAGGCAAAGATTATGGCAGCATTCACCAACTTAAACAAGGAGACCATCCAGAAAGAAGAGTTGCACAATATTCCAAAGTCATCTTGAGGCTGTAGTTGAAAACAATGGCGATTTTAGTGATTAAATTTACTCTTTAGTATTTCAAGATATTTTTGTGTCATTTTGGTAAATATATCTATTAAAATGAAATGTCAGTGTTATTTCCATTTTTGCATAATTTATCCATCGCACCCTGTACGTATTTCAAGGGTTAATTTCCTTGTCTGAGGCAACCCTGGTGTAACAGGAAAAGTATATAAGCCAAAATGAAATCTTTGAAATCATTTTTTATCACTCCTGTATTTAAAGTGAATATAAATGTAGTATTTTGAATGGATAAACAATTTAGATGTGGAATTTGATCATCAAATGAAGTAACAATACCATAAAATGCCAGTTCAAATAAATGACTGCTTAAACTGAATATTAATTCATTTTAAATGTACAAACAATTTAGATTTGAAATTTGATCATCTTGCCACTAGCAAAGTCACAAAACTAAACTACTATATGTAAATAGAACAACCGTTATAAAACATAAGTAGTTTTATTATGATTAATAAAATGAAGGGAGATTCAAGTTTACTCACCAAAAGCAATGAAGTGATAAGGTCTAGATACAGTTTCTATTTTCTTCCCATACTGCGATGAAAATTCTCCTTGTAATTCTTCTAAATATGAAAAAGCAAGTCTTTTGGAGAAAGCCTTTTCACACAAGACAAGGTAGCAAACGCTACGTTCTATCAGGTAACTGAAAAAGAGAAAGAAAAAAAATGAGGAGGTGCTAAAAAGTTATTGAACTGTGTGATAGAAAAATAGAGCCAATCAATTCACATAGAGTTTTAATAAACCAATTCCAAAATAGAAACTATGATCTGGAATTGGAACAAAAGTAATGATGGCACCTACCCTGAATCTGTCATAAAAAAATTCAGGATATGGAATTAGTAAATACTAAACAAAAATATCTTACAGCATGGATTAGTTATGATAAACTTAGTATAGGAAATAAAGAAATTAAACATAGAATAGACTGTGCTTGCGGCAGTTTTAACCAACACCGAAGATTGTTACAAAACCAAAACATACAAACTTGAGTAACGTTCTTAAATAGCCTCATCAGATTGAGACATTCATATGGATGTCATGCATGACACCAAATTCATTTAGAAATATCTAAACTCTCAGCTGTATACAACTATTTTCTCAGATGATTGGTTAAAAATGACCGAATGAATGAAGCCTGTAGATCTTAGTGAGGAACATCCTTCTTTGAATCTTGTGGACTGGCACTACAGAATCACAAAGTACTGTACCAAATAACTGAAATCACATCACTTTAGAACTTTCAACAGCAACAACAAAAATGGATAGCACATGTAACTCAACAAGAAAATGACATAATCAAGACATTGACGTTCCATACTACTTCAGACTAAATGTTAGAAAGGAAACTCCTATCAATCATGGAAAGAGCAGTGACAGGACTTGGGAAACATATTTTCCTGAAAAATTCTTTTAATAGAAGAATTTTATAAATTTCAAAAGAAGCACTGTCTGCTTATTCAGTGATTGTTTGTAACAATTTTTTTTCATTTTTTATTATTATATATATATATATATATATATATATATATATATATATATATATATATATATATATATATATATAAAACCAGTGATACATATTTGAAGGAAAATATTACCAGAAATAGATTGGGGGTTAACAGCAATAAAAAGTTTTGTCGGCATTAAATAACCCATTGAGGTTGATATGGCATAAAACAAACCAAACCTGAGTAAAGCCATAGAGGACAGTGATCAATACAAAAAAGATGAAGATAAAAATTATCTTTATCTCTTTTCCAATTTACTTACTTATTTCAACAGATAAATGACTTGAGTAAAGTTTCAATAAAAAAACAACTACGAATTAAGATGAAAATAAATAGGACCCAAAATTCATAATTTTGAAACAGAATGGGAACAATCTACTCCCATGGATTAAATAATGGGTTCAGTTCAAAATTCTCTGATGGTTAAATGGATCAACATGCAACTGATGAAGGCTGGAAAACATAACAGTTGAAATGATGAGATAATGACAAAGATGAGGTCAATAGTCTAAATGAAAATAATGTAAATAATGATAACTCCTCAATCTCATAAATTCAGAAATGGTTGACAAAGCTTCACTTCATTCATGTGCCATGCCCCTTTCAGAACTTGGTCAATCATGGCTCTCTACAACTTCCTATCCTTTGTAGTTCTTAGTAAGTTTTGTCTTTTCACCATCTCTGTCATCCATTTACAAAATCTCATTAAGTAGGTTACTTGATGTTTCTCTCTACCCATCTTCAATATTTCTTGTAAGGGGCAAATTTTCCAAGCCATGGTTTGGTTTGTTTTATGGTACATCAACATTAATGGGTTATTTAATACTGACAAGATTTTAATTGCTGGTAATATTTTTTTTCCAAAAAAATGTATTGTTGGTAATATTTTTTTTCCAAAAAATGTATTGCTGTTAACATTTTTTTTCCAAAAAATGTATTGCTGTTAACATTTTTTTTTCCAAAAAATGTATTGCTGATATTAAAAACTATTTTACATGTTTTGACCCCAGTTTAGGGGTTAACTATTTGTCCATAGCTGGGACCCTAACAGGTGGACCTTGGAACACCAGCAATTAAGAAGTGGTTTCATGCTCCTCAAAACCTCCTGATCAGAGGCCTTGCTGTTGGATGTAATTTATTGTCTTACCCAGGACGCAGATGTAGTTTATCATCATACTCAGAATGGTCCAAGCCGTTTCCTCATTTCGTATCTTAAAAATTTTGACTGTCTCTTTCTGGTTTTAAGTGTAGAATAATAATAGTAAAAAAATAAATGCTGTCAATATGAGTAAGTTATATTTTAAACAATTTGTGAAATTCTAAGTTTATACTGGGCACTCACAATTATTTCAGGTTTTTTGTAGGTATTCTTTAAAAATAAATGTAATACATAACCAGACAAAAGCCACCAGTCTTTGAGATAATGTTGAAGAATACTTACTGGAATAGGTATGGTCCTGTCTCTATAGTCTGTCTGGCTGGTGCAGTGGAATCTCCAGCTATTTTTTGAAACAATTGCTTTGCCTGATTCTGGTATTCCATTAAACTTCTTCCAGCCTTGAAAGAACAAAAAAAAAAAAAAAAAAAAAAAATCAAACAGGAAACACTATTATTTTATAGTGAAGTTGAATTTTACTTTGAAATTCAGTGAATTAAAAAATAGTAAAAACTGTATCTGCCAAAAAAAATAAAAATAAAAATAAGTGTACATTTGTATATTTTTCAATGCAAAATATAAACATTTATGGAATAAATTTTTTTTTAAATTTTAAATAAAAAAATATAAATCAAAACTTATAAAGAAAATCAAAAATTCTAAAAAAACTAAAAGAAAGTAAATTAAAAAAAATCAATAAAGTAAGAACTCAATTTAGTTTATCTTTTAAGACAGATTCATAAATTAAAAGATCTTAGTTATCTTCAAATCAAAATTAAAAAATAAAAACAGTTTAAATGTTGAAAAAAAAAAAAAAAAAAAAAAAAAAAAAACATTAATTTTGAGGTTAGTCTGTATGATAAATACAGAGAACACTTTTGCACAAATGCCTTTAGGAAAGGCATGAATTAATCTCTTCCTGTCCCAGCTAGAGGTTAAATAACAGAGCAGACTGGACACACTAGTTTTGGTTGATATATTAAACAGTCTAGAAGGACAACACTGAATTCAAAATTAGTTGAACTGGCAATCAATCCCATATAAAAAAAAAAAAAAAAAAAAAAAATACTTGCTACAGAAACCACAGCAGCACCTCGTGTGGTGAAGCTGTGGCCCATTCTCCACTTGGAAGACATTAAGTAAAAAGAATATATCGAGAGTGAAGTGCAGTATTTTGGGTGAGGTCACAAAGGTCACTCCAAAAGGTCATGTCTTCTTTTTTTTTTTATTATGTTGGTCCACAGAGGTGAATGCTGGTAATATAGCAGTAGAGATTGAATGTTTCTGTCAATAACTCATATTTTTTGCTTTGTTATAGATAGGAACCAGTTGTCAGTCAGGTAAAATGGTGCCACATATGAAAATACACAGAAAACTGAGCTGTATCATTAAATTTTGCCATATATAAAAAATTTGCACCGAGTGAAACTGATGCTTGCAGAGTGTTAACAGAGATCAAACAGTGGATGTGAGCAGAGTCAGGCAGTTTAGTGATCATTTCAACAGTGGTGACAGCAATGCATATTACAAGCCATGTTCCAGGCTACCAACCACCCATGAAATGATGAGCACCCCAAAACGGTAGATGGTGGTGGTGATTATGTGAAAGAAATAATATTTTGTAGCTGAAAACTTGCTCTATTCAACAGTATTATTGTGCTCCCTAAATCTAACGATGTTCCTTGGAAATAAAAAATGGTGACACTTTCTTTGCATGTGGTTGGATATATAATATATACACTCATGCATACAACTATTGGCAACTCTTGTCAAAAATGGGTTTTTTATTGAATTTCTCACTAAAATAAATGTCTACATAAATAATTTTTGGTCAATGTAGATGCCATTGTTTGAGGAACATCAAACAAAAGTTAAATTTCTAAAACAATAATCAAACTGTCATGTAAGTCTCAATAATTTTGAATAGTGCTTGAAATTTATTGACTGATATTATATTAAACATCAACAGATGTCCTCCATTTGCAAAATTTATGCTTTGGTTGTTCACATTATTATAACACGGGGGCATTTTCATAGACATCTAATTTTAGCAAGAAATTCAATAAAAACCCATTTTTGACAAAGGCTGCAAATAATTGTGTGTATCAAAACTAATTTACCCATGCAATAAAAAAAAAATGACAGCATATATGAAATTAATCTTTATTCATTGATTGATCCATTCATTTTCTACAGCTTATCAACAATTTGCAGGTTATTTAAAGCCAGAAAATATTTTTAGATTGTAATAATTTTTTTTTACATAAATATTTAGTGATACAAATTTTACTAATTAACCCATAACAGGGGGAAAGAGAGGGAACTCAAACTTTTCCCAAAGGTAGTTGCACATGAGTGAATATAATGAACCCAACTGAAAATGGAACTCTGCTCTCCAATTAACAATTCTGAGCAATTATCCATTACACCACCCATATATCCAAGCAGTCACCCACCTAAGTACTGACCAGGATTGACATTGCTTACACACCATACATAGAAATAAGTAGATAAACACCTTTTACCTCTTTTTATATACTTTGGGTGTAATCAATGGCAACATATAACAGACCAGACCTGGCACCAAACTGCAATGGTGTCATTGGAATAGGTATGGTCCTGTCTCTATAGTCAGTCTGGCTGGTGCAGTGGAATCTCCAGCTATTTTTTGAAACAATTGCTTTGCCTGATTGCAAGCAAAACTAGTGGGTCCAGTGCTTTATACAGGGCAATGAATGTAACCTAATTATTCAGTCAGAGGGAAACTAGATAGAGAGAAGATGAAGATAGCAACCTTCTTGAAAATGTTTAAGGGAAACAGAGGAACAATTAGTGGCTGTGTGAAGACCCCTCAGAGGGACTTATGGTAATGTATAAGAACTTTGTTTATTATAGTCCTGGGAGTTGTGAACAATAAAGGTCATGTCATGCCAGCCAACTTCTTTCAACAGAGCCTCAGTGAATTGGAAATAGCATATTTCTTGAAAATGGCCAGGTCATCAAGAGGAATAGCAGGTGTCTCTGTAAATTGGGTGTGTCTTCATGGTTTATTATTTTGTTGTATAATGCAACATCAGCTTCTGAGCAAGACTAGTAGGCCTATAATGGTCTAATTGTAGTACTGAGCATTATCCTGGACATATTTTATAGCAAATAAACGGTCTTTTTTATTCTAAGCTACCCCAAAATGGTAAGAAAAACCACTTACTGTAAAATACCTGATACAAAGATTTAGACAACATACTTTAGTTTCTTCCCTTTTGTCTCTAGATAAAAAAGAAAAACCTTATCCACTATATAAGTCACTTAAAATCAACAAATACCTTATATAAATGAAGTTGCATTCATCTTCATTTCACAAGTGTTTACATCACTGAAGTATTGCCTTTCCAATGACAATTTTATTATCAGGATTACCGTTATATAATGCAAGGTGTCCCACAAGTTGTATATACTTCAGGTCATTCTATATAAAAAGTACTTGCTATACACATGTTTTGCTTTATTTTACTAGAAACTGAGGTTGCTTAAATGATTTTTAACCCCTTCAAAAAAATTAGCTCTGCATAGCATAGAAAACTGATCATAAAAACTCACACTATACTAGAGCATATACGATACAGATGTTATATTTAGTGGGTACACATCTTGAGTAAACATCTGTTTTTTAACAATATAATTTTGTCAATGGCTTTGTTTTTTCAAGAACATCTTTTTATTAAGAGTACATTTTCTTTATTAAAGACTCTTGAAAAATCCAAAGCAGTAGATGAAAAAAAAAGAATATTTAAAAAAAATAGATGTCTGCTCAAATACATTCTTCCACTAACTATAATGCATATAGTAATAACGTTCATGCATGTGTGTGTGTTTGTGTGTGAATGTTGTGGAAGTAAACTCATGACTGAGTAAGAACACTCCCAGGACTCATAGCTCCCAAATAAACATTTCAGGGATGATTTTCATGTCGTTGATAGATGGATGTCTTAAATGGCCTTCAAGTCATTTCACATTGCATACAGGCAAATCTTCTATGAACAACCCAATTATATGACTGTTTAATTTCATGGTGTCAAGCAAGCCCATTGCATGACCTACACACTTTTTTTACAAATGCTGCATGAAACGTCTTACTGGGTATCATATTAGTAGCTTGGGGATGTTTCTGTGGCCATACATATATATATATATATATATATATATATATATCTTTCAGTTTTACACACACATACCCACAAGCACACATAAAAGGAGTGGAGTGATCAACCTAACACCAATAACTAGCACATAAAGTCATTAGATCAAACTTAGTATAAAGATAACGAAAAATGAGAAAAGCCGCAGTCAATTGCCAAAACCTCATTACTAGTGGGCTAAATGATTACAAAAAGATGGAGTCAAGGTGCTGAATATAACATCAATCAGCTAAGTGACAAGTTTTATTTGCATTAATCATTATATGTGTGTGTGTGTGTGTGTGTGTGTGTGTGTGTGTATCATAGCTCTCTACAAATTGTTTTCTTTATTATCTATGAATTCCTTATAAAGTCATGTAACATCTGTACTATATTTATTGTTGCCTTCCCCAACAGTTTTGAATTCAGTGTAGTCTTTCTCCAAGTCTGGTCACCATCCAAAGCTAAAGAGCCCACTCTTCCATTGAACCCTTAGCTGGAAGCAGAAGAGATGATTCCATGCCTTTCCCTCCAGAATTAGTGTGTTGTGCCCATTAAAAAAAAATAAATAAAAATTAATTATGCTGTCACAAATAATTATAATTATCATTAATACAATTCACACTTTCTAAACCAATAAGAATCAACACCACTCTTCTCCTTTACCATATGCACACATGTGACACATTATCGGACAAGCAAACAACATGTGGTGGGGGTGATGAAAATTTCAGCTCTCTCTCTTTTCAGGCCACAATGATAATGTTTATCCCTTCTTAACACTCATAACTAAAATTTGACATAAAACTACAGACATCTTTTTTTTCTCCAACTAAATTATCTGGACACTCACTACACAAATTATTAAAAAAAAAAGAAAGACTATACAATTTACTCAGTATTACTGTCTCATGTCTTTAACACTATGTAACAACCACTGTCAGCCAGATAATAAATAATACTTGTTTTGTTGTTTCCACGTCTTATGTTTATGTTCTATAAGTATTTTTGTAAGTATAAATGTTAGGGGGTTTATAATTATTTACCCAGAGTTATAACTCCCATATTTGTGCAAAAGTGAATGGAAATGATTAGGCCAAAAATTGAACCTAGTTCAAAAATTTCACTTTCCATTTGCTATGCCACCTGCTTAACTACAAATTTACAACTGAAATATTAGGTTAATAAATGAAAGTGTAGATATTTAGAAA